GGGGTGGGAAATGGGCGGGGCCAGGGCCCCATGGAGGGTCCTCTTTTTTTATTTGTTAAATATGGTAACCCTAAGCTAAGTCATTTTTATAAGGGAGATCAGTAAACCTGTCCTTAGCCTAGAAATTGATGAAAGTTAAAATCACCAAAAACTACAGAAGAATGATAGTGCTGTAAAACCGTGCTCATATGCAAATGTCTAACATTGCTTTTGTCTTTCAGAATGGCGGAGACACAGGTGTTGATGGAGAGGCTGGAAAAAGCTGTAATTCGACTTGAATCATTGTTTTCAGATTCACACAGATCCACTGGAATGGAGTGTGGAGCTGTAAACGGAGTCAATGGAGGTATGAGTGGCTCTTTCAAGAACTGCATGCCTTTTTTTGGAATGTCAGATATATAGCCTGTAAGTGGAGCATGTTTTTTGTTCCAAGAGAGAAAGAACAATCCCAGCCCCTTGAGAGCTGCACATTAGCAGAAAGCAATTTTTTTCTTTTTGTAGACTCAGTTGGAAAATGTCAGGAGGCAACCTTAATCTTACTCTTAATCATACATTAGCATGCCCTAGAAAATTCAAGATTTGAACTAGTCTTAAATATATAGTCCATATTTCAAGCTTTATTGCTCTTTCTGTTGTACTGTTTATATTGTTACAGAGCACTCACCAGTTGAAAATGTCTGCTGAGGCTAATTAGCAGAAGACATGAGTGTTCCTGAAAAGTCAGAACATACATTTTACTGAAGAAATCAGCAATCAGGATTTATTTTCCAGCTCCTGAATTGAATTTCACTGTGCGGAAACACTGCATTGAATAGCTTGATCCCCTTAATCACAGCTGAACTTGTTCATAAGCATTTGCTCACTAATTGCTGCCACCATCGCAGCATTGGCCTTATTTGACACTCTCTTTCATCCTCTGCCCCCAGAAGTGCATCTCCAAAGCCCTCCAAACAGAGGAAGGAAGGCTAGGATCCCAATCTACCCACTCTTGTCTGTACCATGTTGCCAAGCCATACTTACTCACATTGTGCAGATCTTAAGTTAGACTTTTGGTTGTCTTTGACATTTCCAGGTTAAGCAAAACTGCATGAGCGAATAGTCAGACAAGAACACATGACCCACACAGAAGCTGGGAAAATAAGTAACTATTAAGAACTATGTATTTTCAAAACATAGGCTCCAATCCTGCAATGAGCTCCATGAGGGGAAGACCCCTGCATCCACAGAAAGCTCACTGCAGGATTGGAGCCATTGTTACTAAGGTCCCTGTTCTAATTATTTTAATTGCAAAGCCACTTCTACCCATTACATTTGCACAACCCTGTGCCTATGGGGCCAGCTACATCAGATGGAGGATTCACCACTGGGGAAAGTGCTGCTTTTAAATCCTGGCTGGGCTGCGCAGGAACTCAACGAGCAAAGCCTGTCTATGAGAGGTTGTAAATCAACACATCTCCCAGCTGGTCTGGCCCTGCCTGTTCTGGATGCTGCATCTGTCAGTCCCAAGTTTCCTGGAGGAGCAGGGGCTACATGATGTTCCCTGTATGGCACTCCTGCCACAGGCAATTACCACAGATGTGAGCCCAGAACCTAGGCTGTGCTGGCAGAGTGCATATAGCCCACATCATGTGCAGTGTCACACTCAAGCAATCCATGAGTTTGGAGAGATGTATCAGTTCTAGCAATAGTGTTCATTTTAGGCCATTGTTATGTGTGTAGTGCCATGAGCACAGCTATAAGTTATATGCCTGTGGTGGTATGTTTCAGGGCAGGTTCTCACATTCCAAATAGTCTCTATGGCTAAACATGGTGGCACAAGTTCCTCACTGGGGATGAATGTGGCTCAGTAACATGACACATAGAGTTCCCCGTCTGTATTTATTCACACCACTTTCCTTAACGGTGTCCCTCAAAGATGGAGGCTCTGGGCATACCATGTTTTAAGCCACGTTATCGCTCAATAGTCAGAGCTTTACAGCTGCACCTGTTTTATAGGCTAATTAGCAGAAGACATGAGTGTTCCTGAAAAGTCTTTATTTTCTTTAAAACAGGAACTCATGTAAAAGAGTATGTGTTCTTTCATAGCAATGACCCAAATAATTTACCATTGTTACTTCAGAATATATGTGTGATCAGTTAGGCTTGAATGTATATTGTATTCCATCTTAGTTGGTTAATATTTTTATCATACATGGCCTGGGGGAGGAGAGTACACATTTTGGTCCTGAAGATCATGGTGGCAGGCTTGCAGGAAAAACATGCAGTTTCTGAATTACAGAGAGGTCCACAGCAAACTCTAGGATATGGTCTCAGAAATCAGCAGCTTTGCTTCCTAAAAATAGGTATAGCTGTGTTCTGACTTTCTACAGTGTTAGTGCACTTGATGGGCTGCTCTTTGAGTCTCTGTGCTCCAAAATAAAAGCTTAAAATGAGAGTCTTGGAGACTGGCATGGATTTTTACAAAGAATATAAATGGGCTTTGGAAAACATTTTCTTCTCCACCATAAAAAACTTTGTGCGGTACGTCCCACAAGAAACTTACACGTAAACATTTCAAATGGATGAAAGCCCAGAAATTCCTTAGAATTAAAGGTGAGAGGAAAAGTAAGTGACATAAGGAGAACAGGACAGCCTAGGCATTCCATCAAGCAGCTTAAGCACAGAACGCTAAACACAGGCAATTCCAAGTCCTCATTGTCAAAGCTAGTGTTTTCTGTCAAAGGGCCAAAATGCTGTTACTGCAAAAAGAGCTTTCAGGGTTATTAATCAGGGTTCTGCAGTAGTGCAGTGCCAACTGGTTAAGACAGCATTGGGCAAAGCCTGGTGTCCCTTCAGAACAGGCTTTACTTTTTACCAAGTAGAGGGGAAGCTCAGGGAGAAAGGAAGGGGAGAATTTTGACCCTGATTCTGCAAAGCACTTGAGTGGCTTAAATTTACACATGTGCTGGATGAGGGCCATAGAGAGGATATATCTCCATAGAGAGGATATATAGACGGCATATCAGGGAGCGAAAAAGGGACTGGAAAATATCCAAGAAAAGATTACTTTCTCTGGCTTAAATGATATATAAGGCTATTCAGAAAGCCAGTTTGGTGTAAGAAACTGATTCTTACCTGGGTTTCCCAATAGTCAAGACAATCCACGTCCAGTTTAAATAGAATCCATTGTATCAGGATACAGTAGTATACTCTATATGAAAAATCGTGCTTGTACTCATCCGCTTGGTATGTTAAAGGTCACATAGTCATTGAGATTAATGATTTAGGGCACGTCTTCACTACCCGCCGGATCGGCGGGTAGCAATCAGTCTATTGGGGATCGACTTATCGCGTCTAGTGAAGACGCGATAAAATCGATCCCTGATCGCTCTGCCGTCGACTCCGGAAATCCACCGTGGCAAGAGGCGGCAGCGGAGTCGACGGCGGCGCAGCAGCGGTCGACTTGCCGCTGTCCTCACAGCCAGGTAAGTCGACCTAAAATACACAACTTCAGCTACGCTATTCACGTAGCTGAAGTTGCGTATCTTAGGTCGACCCCCCCACTGTAGTGTAGACCTAGCCTCAGTAAAGTTAGATTTTTTCCAGAGACTGGAGAAGCTTTTATCATTAATGGAATTTGCAGTTTTGCAAACTCAGACAATGAAACAAGGAGATTCCAATGCTGTGCTGATACTGATCGCTTAGGAACTGGTTTCCTCATATTGTAGAATTGCACTATTGCCATATTGAAGCCCCATCTTCCTAGAAATTGACTTATTGTTTTTTAATGTCTGCCAAACAATTTATAAAGCTTCAGGAATGGGTGTGTGGAATAAACATAGCAGTGGTTCAGTACAGATTCCTTTAGGAGGATGACACTTGTTTTATGTATATTAATAGCACTGTGTCAATAAAAAGGTCTAAATCATGCTTACCTGGCCATTCTGACTTTGCAATATTGAAGAATATTTATTTTAGCACCTGTTATTTTAGCACAAAGGCAGCTAGCCACATACAGTAGAATAGATTACATTATTTTCAGGGGGCTAGCCAGGTTCCGCTGGGAGCAATATTGTTTGGTTGTAGCTGGAAATAATGGTTATGCATTAATTTTTACTGATTTTACAAGTCAGTGAATATGGCAAAATATTACAACAATTTTTTCCCATTTCTACAGTATTTTTCCCTCCAGCAGCAAAGGACAGTATTACAAATTACTCACTTTATGAACCGGTTGTAATGAAATGCCTTTCTCCCAAAGGTGTAGCACCGTACGTAGAAGCCTTTGACAGACTGTTAAATGGGAGTGTGGCTGAGTTTCTCAGGAATAGCAAGATCCTTGAAGGTGATGTGAAGATACATGTGAGTGTTTTCCCATTTCCCCCCAATATAACTATGGTTGTCTCTAAATACACAAAACCTCCTCTACCAGTCTTGATTGTGGAGAGGGCTATGGAATTCTCATTGCTGTTGCTTTAATTATTAGTAGTAGTAGTTCCCAGAGATCTCTATCAGATAGAACCGCATTGTGCTAGTGGTTGAATGAACACAAAATATGATACAGTCCCTTTCCCAAAGAGTTTACAATCCAAGGCACTAATGTAGAAAAAAAAAAACCTTACACATATGCCTTAGCATACACAATATGAGTAGTCCCATTGCATACAGTTCAGCAAGAGCATGAATATTTGCAGGATTGGCGCCTAATTAAAGACAAGGTGCAACAAATGAGTAAAAAGCAATATGAAGTAAGGAGGATCCAGCACCAGTAAGATCACATGAGTACAGAGGGTATTAATGTGCACAACTCGGTTCTGGATCTTAAGTTTTTTCTTTTTTTTTTTTCTTTTATTCCTCATCTACTTTCTTTATTTTCAGGACTTTTGCCTATTTTGTTTTAAATTATTAAATTGTTTTTAATCTTCCCAATTTTTATATCTATGCCTGTTTCTTTTTTCTTTTGCAATAAATTTTGTAACAAGGAATTTTTATAAAGACAAAGTTAGTTCACATTGAATGTGGTCATGTTATGTGCTGACACCTCCCTTTTGTGATCTGGGTTTTAATTTTTTTTAACTGTCTTTTCTAAAATTCAGTGACAATATACTCCCATTTATCTGAACCCTATTATCCGAACCTCCACATTATCTTAATCCCTCCTGGTCCCCCAGCATGAGATACATAACTCTTTGTAGCATGTATCTCATGCTGAGGAACAAGGAAGGGATTCGGATAATGAGGAGGTTCTGATAACAGCACAGAGACTCCTGGCCACGACTGTGAGGAGGAGCAGGAGGAGGAGCCCCCCGGCATGCTGCTCATGGGAGTGAGGGGAGCCCTCTGCAGCCCTGCTGTCATGGGAGTGAGTGAGCAGCACTGCAGAGGGCTCCCTGTGCAGCTGCAGGGCCAGTGACACCCGAGCCCTGTAGGCGCAAGGTACAAGGAAGGCTGCGGTCCTGGCAGGGCAGAGCAGAGTCCTGTATGGGGATCTCTGCTGTGCCCCACCAAGACCGCAGCCTCCCTCCCTCACCTTGCACCTGCAGGGATCAAGTGTCACCCGGTCCATGGCAGTGCAGGGAGCTCCCGGCCCTGGGGGAGACCACCCTGCTGCCGAATGACTGAATGGCTCCTGCCCTCGATTATCTGAGATAAAATCTGTGTCCCCCATGTTGTTTGGATAATCAGGAGTATACTGTATTTTCTGTGACAGAGGGACAAAGGATGGATTCATCTGATCACAGCTTGCAACATCCTGTCTGTCCTGGTAATGTCATAAAGCTACATGCAAATGGGGGGTTCATCGCTCAAAGTCAGTTAGCTGATCTGAGTTGGGGGTGAAAGAGTATCAGGAATTTTCCCTCATCTCAATAGAGCTGTGTGTCCATGCCTTTCCCCGTATGAATTAATCCTTGCCTAATTCATTGCTGCTGCTACTCTACCCCACAAACCCTGCAGCAAGGAAAACATGCAGCTTCCACTGAGTTTGCAAAGCAAGGGTATCTACTTTACCCTCACCCTACCGGCTGAGAGCATCACCTTCAAAAGACCTTTACAGCCAGTCTGCTCGAGGAACAAGAGTTCTGAGGTTGCTCTCTGAACTGGGTCTCTTGTATGGTTTTATACATTATTGTCCAATAGGGTTAGAGTGCCTCGGTCAGGAAGCTCTAGCATATTGGAATGGGTCAGGAGATCAGGTGGATCCAGAGTCTGATTGTCTTTAGAAATTGCTGCAAAACTTTGCTCTTCGAAAAAGTCTTCCTATCATAAGAATGACACTCCCAACACTTCTAGCCTGAAGCCCCTACCAGCAAAAAATAAAACAAAACGAGAAAAAAAGAGAGGGGACTCCTAGGTGCTATGGGAATACAAATTATAAAATAATAATAAAATATTTTTAAAAACAAAAACCAGGCCCTAAGCAGAGATTTGACCTCAAAAATAGAGACGTGCCAGAGCCACCATGAAGTTCACTATGAACTTCACTGTTGCAATTGATGGGCAGCAGTATAAAACCCCATGATAAATAGGAAGACTTAGTATTGCATCCTAACAAACAAACAAAACAATGACATGGGCTAATTTACATATGGAATCCCAAATCTCCTCTATGGTAATGGGTACACTGCAAATCCAGCCACAGAACTCTGCTAATTGAGTAAATCCACTCTAATCTGGCCACCATTTGACATACACAATTTAGTCCACTTAAAAGCATACTTAAATGAAAAGATTTAATCTTCCTGAATGTGTGGGCAGTCCTGGCATATTGTGCGTGCTACTGGAATACAAATACAATAATAATAAAGAGTGTTTGTTCAGAGCTACAGAAACTATTATCAAGTTTCTATCATATAAAGAAAATGGGATTCTGTTTGTAACCTATTAAAATATTCTGAAATTTTAGTCTCTGAATTTACAACATGAAACGCAGACCATAGTTGCCTTATGTTTCTACTTGCTGCTGCAACAACATCTGTGCTTTACCTTAACAAGCAGAACGAGGAGTGTTTTTCTTCTGGGTGTCTTATAGACCATGTGTCCTAAGCATTATGCTTGCAGCTGCTGTCTCTTTCACATAATGAGCTGAAGGAAAGGTTGTATTTTGTTTCAAAAAACACCTGTTGCCTAGAAAACCTCACATACCTGATTGATCAGGATGGTAATATGAGAGAGAGCTCATAGGGGATGGTATATTATGCTAAAGAAATAAGCGATTTAACGTGATGCATTTCTTGCTGATTGCTGTAAGAACGGTGTGGTTTGTGTTTCTGATGAAAGGAAGAGTACAGCTACATCTAATGTCCGCTGCAGTGCCCCACTCCTGTGTTTTTCTGAGCTTACTGTATGCTAGTCTTTGGAAAGAGAACAGAATAAAAAAGAGGACTGATACCTAGCTTTTGTAAGCCATGCTGAACATAACAGCGCAGTGGATTTCAGAAAGATTAGTTCACTAAAGAAGAGTTCGGCGTAGACCCAAGCCAATTAGTAGTAGAATGGTTTTGAATTCAAACTATAGCATGTCTAGTGATGATTATTTTGGGAGGTCAACTGCATTAAAATAGCTAACCACATTAAAAACCAAAAGCTAGGATTTTTGTATAGCCTCTTGAAAACAAGCTATATTAAACGTTTATGGCCAGATCTTTGGCCTTGCTCTGCTCCTGTGGTGATGCATATTGGCCACAAAACTACTGTAACTGTCTATCTGGGTATTTAATCCATGCCTCTCAGAGCCCCTGACATAGTGAGGCTGCTCTAACTTGAGTCCAAGGATGAAAAGATCCAAGGAATCAGGGGAGTGCAAAGGTGGCCTCCTGGTTTAAATTGCACCTGTGGAGATATTCCAGCAGCTACAGATAGCCGGAGCAGAGGTGCATCAGCTATATCCCCTTTTGCCTGGCCATATCCCCTCCTCCCAGGACTGTGATGAGGGTGACAAAGAGCCAGCTATGCCAGATCTATTCTACCTAGTGATTCTGTTACATTGAGGAGACTGGTCAAGCAGTACAAAGGGGCCGAGGACGTGGCTTTGTCAAGTGTTCAGTAGGAGTCAGTTTATGTTGGTTATGTGGGAGTCTGATATCCCAGGCTACGGGATGCTTTGGCTCAAGCAAGTTAGAATAATGATGTACAAGATAAGATGTACAATGTAATGATAAGAATAGAACATACAAGTAGAGAAGTCTTCTGAGGTAAGGTGTGCATACCGTAAGATTGGCATATGACAATATTTTGTAGGACACATGATGGAAAAGAATTACAGCCTCCTTGTCAAACACATTGTATGATACGTGTTAACCAATTCTTTGAATACAGTATCTGGTTAACTCTAATCATAGTTCCCTTTCCTCACATTCCAACTTATTTAGTCCATAGAGGAAAAGGTTACTGGTCTCTCTTCACTTCCAGGTTCTATTGTTTCTGCCAGAGAAACAGTCTGCAGTCCCTGGTGGCACAAAGTGTATCTGAAAAGCGGCTGCAGTGTCTCAAGACACTTCCTCCTCCCTCCTCCCCCCCCCCCCCCACTCCAGCAGGGGTCCTGGAGCCATCCCGGAAGAGGCATGGACTATGCCCACAGGCTGTGCTGATTTAGCCAATCCTTTGAGCAGCCTCTGCTTGTAGGGCTCCTATGGAGCCCTGGCTGTCCTTCAAAGCTGCCTTCCCTTGGCAGTACCCCTGGGATGAAGCTGTCAGTGCTGGCACGCAGGGGAGGGGATGAGGTGATTTTTATACATACATACACGAGCAGAAATTAATCAACCCCCCTGTATATTGTGTGTGACATTTAAATTGGGTTTCTATGTAGTTTCTTGAGAAGAAAGGTCTTGAAGTCATTATGGATAGTCCTCTGAAAACATCCACTTCATGTGCAGTGGCAGCCAAAAAAGCTATCAATGTTAGGAACTGTTAGGAAAAGGATAAATAATAAGACAGAAAATATTATAATGCCTCTATATAAATCCACGGTACTCCCACATCTTGAATATTGCATGCAGTTCTGGTTGCCTCATCTCAAAAAAGATCTATTAGAATTGGAAAAAGTACAGAGAAGGGCAACAAAAATGATTATGGATATGGAACAGTTTCCGTATGAGGAGAGATTACAAAGACTGGAACTGTCCAGCTTGGAAAAGAGACGATGAAGGGGATACATATCCAAGGTCTATAAAATCATGAATGGCCTGGAGAAGATGAATCAGGAAGTGTTATTTACTCCACATCACACAAGAACTAGGGGTCATCCAATGAAATTAATAGACAGAAGGTTTAAAACAAACAAAAGGAAGTACTTCTTCACACAACACAGAGTCAGCCTGTGAAACTTGTTGCCAGGGGGTGTTGTGAAGGCCAAAACTATAATG